TCTCTCTCTCTCTCTCTCTCTCTCTCTCTCTCTCTCTCTCTCTCTCTATCGGTCTCACTCTCTCTCGTCACTCCCCCTTTGGAACTCCTCCATCCCGTTCCAGCATTCCTCAAAAAACCCACTCAGAGGGATGAGGGGCCGGCACTGACACAGATAACATCCTGTAAACACTCCCCATGCAGGGACACCATGCACCCTGGGAAAAAAAAAAAGGACTGGTTTGTGTGTGTGTGTGTGTGTGTGTGTGTGTGTGAGTGTGACTGTGTTAGAAAGAGAAACAGACAGACAAGGAGAGTGAGAGAGAGAATAAAAAGGAGACCAATGGCAGCAGGGTTCAGCAAAGCGACCCATGAGCACAAAACCCCTCTTGTTATGGCTCGAGCAAGGTTGCCATGGCCACTGAACTGGTTCCTTTAACTTCTATGAGACTGTGCTGTGCTCCAAAAGCCCAATTAAGCTACCTCTGTTTGCAACAAGTTTGGATTCCCAGCAAGTTTGTACCCCAAATGTCAAAATAAATCGTACTTTTTAAGAAAGGCCTTTTGAGATGAATTCGTAAATATTGACCTACTTCCCTCTGAATCTGATAATTAGTGATGGAAAGCGATTGGCTACTTGTTTCAAGCATTGCAAAGAGGGATGACATTAGCCCTGCGGGGGCAGTGCTCAGGCCGTCACAGTGCTGCTCAGTGAAAGACAGCCTGTGTTTTCTGAGGACACACCATGACAGCCGCAGCTCACTCATGGCCTTTGTGCTTTATAAAGCAGGCCGTGACACACGAGGCTCGATGTCACCGTAAACTGGGCTATTTAATGGATCATAAAGAGGCGGGAACAGGAAGAGGAGGGAAGGATGTCTGCTACAAATTGATACTGGTCAGCCGGCCAGATACAGGAGGGTTAGGCGAGCACGTCCGCCACCGCCTTGTTCCTGTGTCGTCCCTCTGTCAGATCTCACACTTGACGTAACCATCAAAAAGTGGAGAGTAGCTTTCGCAGGGACTCAACAGTATGTGGCGTGATGGGTGGCACAGGCTGACGCTGGTAAACACACTCCGTAGAGGCCTGAACGTGACGTCACTCAGCTGGAGGACCTCACTTGCTTTTAAGGGTGTTGTGCTGTGTGTTTGTTCTCCAGACAAATCGTTCGTAAAAGAGATGACTTTCTTTCATGTTGGCAAAGAAAACGATCTGCAGAACACACGTAGCTCTGAACCAAACAAACAATGCGGCCTGTAAAAGAAGCTCCAGCATCAATGGAAAAGTGTTGAATTTGTGGAAAAGTTTTGCCCTTGCTGCTTGTGGTTTCATGCTCCCCAGGTGGAAACATGGGTGAAATATTTGAGATAATGACCGCCAGCTGAGGAAAGAGCTTGTGTGCATCTAGCTGTTTTGTCTGGCTTCACTCAGCATGCATCCACTCGGCATGTTGGACAAGCTGAACTAATCTCTTTCATGATGTTGTGCTTTAAAGTATTATGTCTGCTTTTTAATGCACTAATTTATCAGGATGGATAGCTTTGATTCCGAAATAGTATAAATATCTGCACTAATTATAAGATGTTGTGGATCTAAGTGTAACTTGAATTCCTTGCTGATGATTGGTATTATCATGAACAACACGTAAAACTGAAAATTCACGTATTATCTTTGAAGTGCAGCTGCATCCTGAATCTACAATCTGTAAAAATAAGGAAAAAAAGAAGCGTTTCAAAGTATTTCTTTGGCATTTATGTCATTTTATGTAAAGTTCATGAGACTGAATCTAATGACAGAACCCAGTAACAGAGGTTGTGCCGTCTTTGTTGTTTGTGTCTGGAAGGCTGAAAAGATAAATTACTTCCTGGTCCGAGGAAGCTATTGGACACATTTTATCTTTTTGACCTTAGCCAATGGCTAGTGTTTCCTCCTCGCCACAAGATGTCTCTTCAGCTCACAGGAAAAGCCCCTAGTGGCTCATCCCACGGTAGAATATACACAGCATTTTCTGGAAAGGTTTGGTGTTTGAAAACATCAATGGCACAAATTGAGACACAAAAGAAAGCACTTCTGTATAAGAGGAGATTTGAATAGTTGTCTATCATATAATAAGAACAGAGAGGTGCAGACACATGTTTCTAATGCAGAAGTTCACAGAGGAAAACAACGAAGATGCTCAGCCTGAAATACAAGACTTAATTTTGGCAGAGCTTTAAACAAAGTCATAAAAATATGTTGATGACCTGCTCAGACCAAGATATATTGCCAATTGTTTAACTGTACAAACTGTTCAACATAATTCAGTATGGGAACTATTTTGGTTGTAGGTAAACGGGCTGAGTAAGTAATCAAGGTAGTCACATAAAGAAAAAGGGGACGTGTGCTTACAGACATTAACTTTCGTTGCATGTATCCACACCTCCGTATTACATCAGTAGGATTACTTCATAGATAGAAAGTTGTTCTGTGGGAAAAACTGGATTTAGCACCCGTCACGCTGGATTTTGATTCCCATGGGAAAATAAATGTGGGCAGGGTTGACGGGTCTTCTGAATACAGCTGAGCTGTAACAATTATACTTTTTTCTTTGTGTAATGGATGCTTGACTGTGGGATATTGCCAGTGGCCCCAAACAGCAGACACAAAGTTGGACAGTGCCCAGATCATCACCTCTCAACTATTCCTCTTAAACTGCATTGATTTGAGTTGCAAGAAAAGCAGGGATGTGTTCACAAGGACTTGATGCAATTAGAACAGAGGTATTTGGATGAAGACAAGCTGAGTAAGCAGTGTTTAGTAAAATAATGAGATACATCAGTGCAGCGTGTCGATATATTTTATATAGCCGGATTTTTAAAGAGATAAATATCTTTCCAACATGTCCACAGAGAGCTTGTCTTTAAGAAGAAAGAGTAAGACTGTGGCCTCTATTTCCTTTCTGAAGTTGTGAATATTTCATGAATGCATTTATGCTCTTGCTGCCACAGCGGGAGATTTGATGAAGGTGAACATTGCAGGCATGTCAAATGCTCCAGTGACTGAGTAGTGATGTTACAACTCTTTCATGCAATATCAGCATCAAAACGATCCCAAAACATTTAAACCGCCACATGAACAATGATCTGTGTTATGATTATTATTATTATCATTCTATTGACAAAAGAATCGCATATCAAAGGAAGGTGTAAATTCATGTTGAAGGCATTGTGATCAGATCTTATTCAAGTGTAGATGAAGACCACATTCTTAAGAAACAAAAACCACCCGACAAGATGAAAGGTCAACTAACTCTGCCTCTTCCTGCGAGCTTAAATTAAACAATCCCAGTAAAAGCTACAAGTAGTTGCAGTGAGTGGCTGCGGTCAAATAGTTTTCTTTTCTTTGGAAGGTTCCTAACCGAGTGAAATGACCCTGAAGTATCTAAGTTGCAGCCATGATCTGGTCGAGTTCTTTAAATGCCAAGCAAAGGTACTTCAATCCAGATAACAAGAACATATTTTAACATCAGGTTTTAATGCAAAGACCCATCAATACATATCAATATATTTTCTTCTTCTTTCAGCTAATTCCGATATTGAAATCTGATCACAGATTACATGTTAATACCAGGTGTAAATGGGGCCTACATTTGACAATAGGATACCCAAATGTATTAATATTTATCCTGTATGGAACGTGATTGTCTGCACCAGATTTCATGACATCCATTCAATAGAGACATTTTACTAAAATGTGGTAAAAAGTTAGAGGATCGCCTTAAGTTTTATCTTCTGGGGACTATGACTATCTTTTAAACATTTCAAATATATCCATTAGCTGTTGAGATATTTAAGTCTGGATCATGGTAGTGGACTGACAAACATTGCCACAGAGCTTTAAGTGTGGGCAAAAGAGATGGCAAAGCACAAACTCTTCATACTGAGACTGGAATTTCCACAATGTCAGTTCTTCTTTGCATCAAAATTTTGCCATCAGGGATTTTTTTGTGATGGCATAACACAACCCTGAACGTCAGCATAGACACTACATTTAAGAAGGTCTGTAGTTTTCAGTTTAACGGCGGTGTTTTCACTCTGAGTAATGTCGGCCCTCCCCCTCCTCTCTCCAGATGTTTCCAGGTCACAGAGAACATGGCGTTCGGTGACAGACTACAACATCACTTGGTCTAAAGAAGTCAAGGGAGGGCAGGGACAGAGGAAAAGTGATTCCATAGTGCATTTCAAGGCCGGTTTCATGGAAACTAAAAGTGACAGAACTGCTATCAGTTCCTCTTCACTGACTGTTATCGCCATCACTATTTACTATCTTGTGCTGTAACTTGACCAGTCAGTTTAAAGTCCTTTAAATTACAACATTTTCCAGCTGTAAAATAATCAAAGAGACATTTTTAGAGGAAAATAAATTGACATTATTAGAAGATAATCCACCTAAAAATAATTTTAGACAGAAACTGGTTTACAAGCAACAGCTGACCTGAGCATGTATCACTTTAACTGTTACCATTGTTAAATTTACAGTATCACTTTGTCCCATCTCTTCCTCATACTCCTTTTATTGAGTTGCTGTGAACAGTTTGCTCATGATCCATAACACAACTGAACTTTGACCAGTCTGAGTCACGCACCAACGATCTGTATGCGCTACGGTGACTCCAGCAGCGAAAAGCCAACAGACCGGCAGGATACAAGCCCATCTGTCACTCACGCAGATCAATACACACTCGGGTTGGATCTGAGGAAACAGATAAAGGTTCAGGGGCTGAGAGAAGGCAACTTTATTGATTGCAGGCAAATTCACCCCCGAGTCTATCGTTGCCCTTACACTAGTGAGTCAAAGCACCTTCAAGCTCCATGTATATTGGAAATCCAATTACTCTTCCTGGCAGACATTTTGTTTAATCATATTGTTGTACTCCTGATTTACCGAAAGCCTCCA